GCAGGTGCAGCTGCACAGCTGTAAACATACAGGCACCTATCACACGTATGTGATCTGCTAATACGACTAAACACGTGTTCCCAGGTGTAGCATATATCACATACAAGGGGAAAACTGGAACTACTGGAACTCTCAAGAACCGAGACAGGACAAGAATCTATTTCCCACAGCACAATTTAAAGGAACATTTTTTTTTTTTTTTTTTTTACAATCCAGCCTGAAAGATTTGTCGGCCCACTAGTGCACGCAGAGTTAGCTGAGCTTTACACAAAGCATGGAGAAAATGATGGTCTACATTTTTTAAATTTTTTTTTATTTAATGAAAATTCCGTGCAGAGAAAAGTATGAACAGGAAGACGATAAACAACGCGGTGGGTGAAAGAAGCGACACGACACTGAAAATGAGGAATAAAACTTTGCAAATGAAAAGGCAGCTCAGTAGAGCTCGGCAAATTTGCATTTAATCAATTTGGAGAAAGGTTTTAATGCAAAGTTAGTTGCTGCGACGCCGCACACACACGCTCTCACACACACGCTCTCTCTCTCACACACACACACACACACACACACACACACACGCTCCAGGATCTCATCACTACAACGACATTTCATTGTGCAATCCATCTTAATCAGCCTGCCCATCAGAGACAATATATCCTCCTCTCCGTCCCGCTCTCTCCTTCTCCGGACGGAGTGATTGAGGGGTGTAAAGAGGAGGATGTTACTGACCCTCCCCCTTACACTCCCCCTTTTCCACCTCCTCCTCACCAGGACGGCTCTTAAGTGCTTGTGGGTTTTTACGTTTATAGTGTTTTATAGGAGTGGGCAGTAGCCAGGGGCTGTAAAAGTGTGCAGGGAAGGAGAGCAGGGGCGGAGTGGGAGGAGGAGAAGTGGAGGATAAGGAGAAGGAGGAGGAGTAGAGTTACTGTAAATCCAATCTTTATTGAGAGCGACACGAACGACAAACAGCAGCCAACCATCCTCGCCGCAACGCCCTGCTTACCTGATCAATACAGTTGGCTCCGACTGAGGAGAGGGGAGAAGGAAACAGAAAATAACCAACTTCATACCACAAAGTCTCTGGAGTTCCTCTGTTTTGATCCTCATGCAACTGTGTGGCCCACTCTGTATGCACCCATGTGTGTCTGCAGTCAATTTCACACCATCAGCACCGCCACCCTCCAACCTGCCTACCAGTCTGCCAGTGTAGCGTATAATTGGCCACAGTTGGCTACAACTGAATGTTTGCAGCCGTAGGGCCTAAATGACGCTTCAAGGCCTTTCAGTGACAGAAAAAAAATCCCCAACACTCCCCCACGTCCAAGCGCCACATCCACCGTCTCTGCTCTGTAATCCTTAAGTTTCACTGTTAGATCTGAAACTGGAGACGCATAAGTTTAACTAACCAAGTCTTTTCTTCTAGAGTCTCAGCCCCACTGGTCAAAGGAGCTGGTTTAAAGGGATTTGTTTGTAAAGTCAAAGTGTCTTTAATTGGCATTGGGCCCCATGTCTTGTGACTCTTCAGTGCACCTAGGTTTTACTTGACTTGGACTCTGATTGCTTCCTGGGTCCACGTGCCAATTTGTTTTTCCTCTTTTGTCACCCAACAGCTGGGAGTGGTCCTGGATTTAAATACTCTGGGGAGATGCAGATCAATGTTTTATTTTGACAGGTGGAAGCTGAAACTAGACTCAGAGTTTGGAGCGTGGTCTATCTAATTTTTTTGGCACACTTTTTTTTCCCTCTCCTTCATTAAATCTTCTATTTTAATAAGCACTGTCAAAATAAACACATTAACCCCAAAGTTTATTTTGTGAAATTAGTCGAATTAACCACAGACAGAGCGGCAGGCGCAGTATATGTAATAATTCTGTCATACACAGCCAACACACACGTTGCCATCTACACACACACCGTGACAAAGAACTTTCATTTCTTTATAGCACCTCAAGCCTCAACTATCGTCTCAGCTCAACACCCAGCATGCATTTGTGGAGGCTTCAACTTCAGCTGCATCAGAGCAGGCTCTACATCGATTCATTTTATGGAGCAAATATTCTGTTCAACACTGAACTTTAAAATGTTCTTAACTGATGAGAATTCATCCAAATAATTCACAGCTAACTTGGGATTAATGAGAATAAAACACGTCATTGTTTGTCAGCCCTTTATTTGCAAAACGTACTTTTTTTAAAGTCATCTGGGTTAAAGGCTGCCTGAGGCAAAGACACCACAGAGCCCAGTCATCACACGTCATCACACAGACAACGTTTCAGCAGCACCACAGTTCTCTTGTCATGGAATAAGACTGTGTTCAATTTGCCATAAAAAAGAGAAATCAGTGATGGAATTTCAGCTGAAGTCCAACTTCAAAGCCTTTCACTTGCTTATTGTAGTATCTGCAGCTGAGAAACATCATCTCGTCTGAGATTCCACACATAATAAAATAGAATCACAGTTAGGTTAAAAAAAAAGTTCTGCGAATACTTTTCCCAAAAACAGACACAAATGCAAAACTTTGCCAAAAGAATGTGAGAAGAACAACTTTCTTCCAATCGATACGGGTCGCCATCTTTGTTTAAACTCACCATCTTTTTGCAACTTTTGGCAAATACCTCCCAGCTCTAACTTCAGAGTTTGACATTGATATTTAATTTTCCCTCAAGCTCTTTACGTTCTTATCATATGAACAGCTGTGCAGGCCCGGCATGGCAACATCACAAACAACTGAAGACCGAGAGAAGAAATATTGTTGCGATACCATATATAATTTTAAAATTTTGGAGAGGAAGGAAAAGCTGACAATGTATAAGAGCAGTGTGCAGGACACTGGGAAAAATCACTGTTAGCTACACCTCAGCTCAGCTCTTCACGTCACACAGTGTTTTTTTATGTAGTGCCCTGAGATCTTTCACTTGCCACTTAATTTCTGGGTAAGATATAAAAGGTCAAAAATACTAAAATTCGTTTTCTGTAGCAGATAAAGCACCTTAGAAATTAGAAATAATCCAAGGTAAAACTGCTACGTTCACTGGAAAGGGAGAAATAAGAGGTTTTTATAATCAGACAATCCCAGACGTTGTGACTTTCTGTTCCTTTAAGAGTGGCTCTCCATGCTTTTTAGTCATTCATGCAGTTCAGTTAGTCATCAAAGACAAAGGTCGGTCACTTAGTCAACAGAACGATCACAAAGACACTCTGGTGGCTGAATCATTCACACAGAATAGACTGATCTGACACTTCTGTCATAAACTCCTTTGTGGTACCTTGTACCTGTTGTTGCCATGGCAATGCAGTTGGGCGATTTAAATACTAGCCTTTGTACCCCATTCCTGTCTCTCTTTCATCAGATTTTCACTCCTCCAAACCCTCAGTCAGCCGGTGAGCTTTCTCTCATGTCAGTCATGTTTCCTCCGTGGCTGTGGTGGATTTCAGTCTCCTCAGCTCAGCTTGGTCGTCCTCACTGCTAAACAACTTTACTGGCTCTTTCCTCTTGTTATTTCCACGCTACTTTGCATCGTGCGACTCTGTAAAAACTCTTGTAAAACACACGACAAAGTCGCCTCTACGGCCACACTGAGACAAATTACAACTGCCTACAGCTCGTGTATACATAATTACTGTCGGCTGAATGCATGAATTAACGCGCACAGGCACTGGGTCACAAATGAAAGTCAATGGTAGACATATAAACTGGGTGCTGGCACAGCACACACCGTCTGACAGTCAGCTGCCAATGACAATCTATCATTCTGTGTTAAAGCCTCATCATCAGGCATCACTGAGGCGTGCTGGCCTGCCTCATTCTGCTCTGCTCAGCTCTGCTCTGCTCTGCTGCTGTGTCTGAGCCAAGTGCCCTGAACAACGCTGTGTGTTAAAGGGCTTCAGCGAATGAACTGGCTTGTGGCTCCATCTAACGGTCAACAGAAACAGTGTTCCTGTTTTACTGCCGCTTGTAAAAAAAGAAATACTCATGAAAGAAAACAATGAGCATAATACTGCTTGGGATAAAATAAAACACAAAAATAACGGCATTAAATCAATAGTATTAGATTTGCTGGTGTACTTTTAGCTCGGACTGTAATATCAAATACACACTGAACACACACACACACTATTTACACACATTATTTAGAGATATTTAAACCATGATAAACTTCATGACCTCGACCACGAGAAGACTAACAGAGACCTGGAACCTAAGCCACACGGTTCATGAATTTTAAGTCTCACATAAAGTGTTCAGATTTGAACTTTGTAAAAAAAATGTAGAAATGGAAAATTGAATCAAACTCTGGGATTTTATGAGTGAAAAACTTATTTGGAGGTAGAAAGGACCATAGTTGAAGTCTGTAATAACACATTATTATTATTATTATTGTTGTTGTTATTATTATTATTATTGTTGTTGTATTATTTGGAGACTCGAGCCTAGGATTTTCTCAATAAATAAAACTAAAAGTCTTCAGTCAGTTCAATAAAATAATCAGGGCTATATTCTGTTAGTTACTCATTATTAAAGCCTTTAGGTTTTTACACATACACAGAAAGTCACAGTCCTTCACTTCTACGTTACTTGAGCTGCTGGTTTTCCATGTGTAATTCTATGAATACTCTAATGCTCAGCCTTACAGAGGCTTCTCTACTGTATGAACACGATGTGCCCACACTGCAAAGGAGCAACAAACCCCTAATCACAGCACACGCGCGCGCACACGCACACGCACACACACACACACACAGCGCCCCCACAGAAATTTGTGCTGAATGATTGTAAAGAACATGACCATCACTGCACAAGGAAACCAGGGAATGATCGTTTCCCATAATATTTGGAAATAAAAAGCCTTCGTTTCTATTATTGTTTCTGCGACATCAGTTCAGTTTCATTCATTTAAAACAAACCTGAACCTAAGAAAACATTGTTTGTTGTTATTGTTATTTCAACAAACAAGACAACTTATCCTTACCGACCACTGCACTCATTTACACACACATACCTGCATTAACAATGGCATCGATCTCAAGCTTGGTGATGTCACCGCTGTAGACGGAGATCTTCTGGGTCAATTTTTCATTTCTTGGGTAGTGGCTTACCTCGGAACCACCTGGTAATGAAGGGAATGGAGCGAGAAGTGAAATGCAGATTATTGTTTTGGCTCTTCCAGAAACCAGCTGACGTTTTGTATAATTTTCTGTTCACAACTGTGAGCAGGTCTCCTTGAAGAACATGATGGAAGTTGTGAAGCGGGGGTCTGACCTGTTGAGGGAGTCCACACTGGGACATCCTCCAGGGGCACAAAGCCTGATGTCCTGTAGTACTGACGTCTTTCCTTCACTGTCATAGACATAAGACCATCTGAGAGGGATTAGAGAGCAAACATGTGATTTAGAAATGAACAGTGCAAACTACCTCAGGAGACAACAGTTGACCTCCACATACAAAGTCAAACATAGGTTTTTGGGAAAACAGATGGATTGTAAGACTAATCCTATTTTCTAACCACAGAAGGAAAATCTAACCTTAAAATTAAAAATGTACTTGACAAAGAACAACCAGAGCCTTTTGGGTTTCATATTTGTATTTGTACCAAAAGATAAAAACTTTAAGCGCTTATATTGATTCATTTGAAGCAAATGTGTTTGACAGACAGCATTAAAACTTGCTCTTTTGTCACAATTAAGGAGGTAAACAGAAACCTCTCCTGTTTCTCATTAGGAGGTCATTGTTCCATAACACTGATATTGAGCAAGTTTAAAGCAAATGGCAGTTTAAAATTCAAGCCTAATTGGTTATATTACTTTTCTCTGTAAACTGCGTTAGTGGCTTTGGTTCTGCTACATTTGTCATGTGTCATAGCAAACGTGCATCATTTGTGCACCACTGACAGCTGAACTGTTGTTACTCTGATCTAGTGGTTCTCAGTTATTGTATTATATTGTATATAACATGTATACCTGTATTTTTATCTGTACAAACCACTGTATGAGTGGCTGCCACCTAGTGACTGGAGGCTTGTTATCATTAAAAAATTACAGCAGTGGTACACTTATGTCCAGCGTGCCATATTCCATTGGAAGCCCCCCACCCTCCCCTCCCCTCAGGGGGAGCCCGCCCCACTATTTGAAAAGCGATCCCTGCAGTAGCTGCTTGGTCTCACCCTTGGTCTCCTTCCAGTCTCCCTCTGCAGAGTTCAGGTTAACTTTGCGGGCCATGGCGGCCAAGCTCCCGGTGTGGAAAGACACAATCAGGGCAACTGAACTCACTCCGAGGACTGCAGCCTGGGTGATTTTACCCAGCCAGAACCAACCTCCCCTCTGCTGGGGTGAGGAAAAACGGTTCCCCTGACTCGAACTCCCAAGTGCTGCTGTTGTTGTAAACTTCTTAATAATGCCGAGCACAGGACCTGTAGCTGGATTCACAGCCTGCTGAGGGCTTTGAGGACCCACGGAGTGACTGAACTTGACGCTTGCCCCGTGGTAGTTAGCACGGACACGGAGCAGAGGGGCCGCCGTGCCGGGGAGGGCTCGGACATATGAAAATAGGGTTGATATTTGCAGAGCCATGCCTGAGAGTTCGTGTAACTGTAGCTGCTCGCCGTAGTTCGGATTCAGTTTCAGTATGATAGACACGCCTGCCTCTAGATTAAACGCTAATGTCCAGCACCCACTTGCCGGTTTTGTTTTGGACGTTATCACGTGGAATGTACCATTTATGGGGGAGTCGTTTGAGTTCAATTAATGGAACCGCTTTGAAATGATCAAAATAGCTACCCTGACGTGGAATTTCTATTTAAATATTTAAAAAATAATCATAAAACCAGAAGCATGTGTGAGATTTAGACATTTGTTTTGTTATTGTTCAGTTTAACGCGGAACATAAACCCCGATTTAGATGACGCCAACTATCAGGCGCTTTGTGATACTTTACTGACTGCAGGAAAAGGTATAATCAGGAGAAATGGCGAGCATTAATAAATAAATATAATTAATAAATATAATTTTGACGTTAAATATAATTTTGACGTTTCTTCGTATTGTGCTGTTATATATATATATGCATATGTATATATATACTGTATATATGTGCCCCTGCTCTGTGTATATATACACACGTCAATATTTTTAATGATTTACTTTTTATTAATAATAAAATAATTTAATATATTAATAATATTGCCTACTGTGTACCATGTGAGCTATCGCTCCCTTTTTAAACTTTATTTAAATCAACTTTATTGGGCTATTACAAGTATATTGTCAATATTTCTAATACTTATATTTTGATTTTGTGGCGCTTTGGCCCAGAGGCAATGTCTCTGTCATTGGTGTGGAACCCCAGAGTTCACCTCCTGGGCAAGATCAAATCCCATTCAGGGCGGTTGGTACCTTCCAGTGGACTCCCCACCTGCAGGAAGGTTCAGGGGGTTGGTACGGTGCAGTGTGATTTGGGTGGTGACTGCTGCCCCTGCTACCTGGTAACAGATAAGTGAATGAAAATGGATGGATATTTTGATTTTACCTGATGTACAACCTACATATGCTAGGGAAACTATAAATGTAACATCAATTATCAATAATGATCAATGTACTAATTATTATTGCAATGTTGGTCCTGTAAAAGCTAAAACACAGTATGGTCGCTAAACTTTCAGAAGTGGACAAAATGAAGAAATGATCATGTAATGTCTCTAATTTCACATCTCTTCCACATATACATGTGCACACACACACACAATTCACACTGCCTGTCAGTGAAGGCCCTTTTCACATTTCCGCCTGCCGGAAACTGACAAAAAAAAGGAACAAGTTCTTTTTGACTGAGCTGTCAAAGGCAACGACAAACAGACGTAGCGGCACAGACCACAACCTACCATAAGACCATAAGAGAGAGACGAAACCTTCTCACAGAGAACGTGAGAAACTACTTTGGAGTTCTGTCAGAAGCACAGAGGAGACATTTTCAAGTTTTCAACCACTTGTGCAGAAAATACTGAAGGTATTGTGTCGAATGTGTGTGCCTGGGTGTGTCTATGACTGCATGTGGGAAAGTATCAATGTAAAGAGTTATGATGGAGTCTGTATATGTTCAATATTATTGATGGAAATATGTAGTTTGTTGCTGAAAACATGCAAAACATGTACAGTATGTATATAAATAGTCTGGGCTAGGATAAGGTAAAGATAAAAGGAAGTAGTGCATTCTTAAAACGTTCCAGTGGTGTAATTCCTCTCAGTGATGTGTGGCTTTGATAATACAGTTAAACAAAAAACTAACAATTCAGTTCATCCTGTGTGACTGTGTGATGTTGAATTTTTAATTATGCTCTCACTTCCAAGCACCATGCAGTGGAAGTGTTTCTGATCATCATGACGGAAGTGTGCAAACCTGCTGATAGTTTAAAACAAAAAGAGGAAGTGTGCTAAAATGGACATGTCAAAATAAAGTTTCCTGTTACTCATGATCGTGTGTGTATACCATTATTCCACTATTGAATTCACAGTTTAGTTGAATTGTTACATTAGCATACACTATTCTGGAGGAAGCATTTATGGTTAGACTCTGGTACATTGGTAACGTTTTGAGGAACTGTTCCTTATTCTAATCCAGGACTTGCACTTTTAGTGATTAAGATTCCTGAAAACCAATTCCTTTTTCATAAATATTTAATTTGCACCAAGAGAGTACTCTCTCTCTCTCTCTCTCTCTGTTTCTCTCTTTCAGAATGGCAGCATGGGACCTGTCAATCACAGTGGAGGATTTGGGCCCTGATGCCGAACCTATCACCATCAGTGTGACCTCTGACCTCCACGTAGGCGGGGTTATGGCAAGATTGGTGGAAAAGACACGTAGGTCACAATCTGTGTTTTTCGGTGAAATGTGTCCTAAGAGCCTGAATCTGGGATGAAGTTGTCTTTAAAATGATTGTTAATAAATAGAGCAATTACGGCGCACATCAAATTCACCTGCTCTTGGCTAAAGTAACTTAAAGAAAATGTTACAAAGACACAAAGTAGGACTTAAGATGTCATCCATGTAAAGCATTTCTTTCACCAGTTAAATCGTTCATAAACTACTGGAGTGTTTGCTTCCACCACACACGCCCAGACTGAAGTACTGAAAGTGCTGACTAATTGCCAAATGGTCCGTTCCAGCCTTAACGTATCTTGTTAAGGCTGGTGTATCATTTCTTAAACGCAAGAACATTTTGCTGTATACACCAGTGTGTAAAAAAAAAAACCTGACCCTGACGTGATTTGAACACGCAACCTTCTGATCTGGAGTCAGACGCGCTACCGTTGCGCCACAGAGTCTGACAGACTAAGTCGTAATATCTTTTAGGTATTTGTTCGACTGCGGTCTGTAGCTTTATTTTAAATTGTAGCATGATTTGTCCCAAACGTTTTCTCGCCACAGACAATGTCCAATAATCCGAAGACAATTTGTGTAAAATCATAATAAACCATGAGGATTTTGTGCACGTTTCGCCCTCAGAGATTACGCGTGATTGGTCAGACCGTGCTTTGTGGTGGGAGCAGAAGCAGCAGTGGCTGCTACGAACATCCTGGACTTTGGAGAAGTACGGAATCCACGCCGACGCACGCCTGCTCTTCACGCCCCAACACAAGCCCCTGAAGCTGGGTCTACCCAACGGCATCACCCTGAAGCTCCTCGCCAGCTTCTCCAGCCCCGTCTTCTCCAGTGTGATAGGCATCTGCAAGATGCTTAGTAGGTCCCTCCCCACCCCCCTTATTTTTAAGACATCGTTTACATACATTTTTAAGTTATTGTTTTCAACCAGACTTGAATATTATAGATTTTATAAATACTTGATAACTTTAAAACTAACATATACTTTAAACTAACGACATGAAGGAAAAATTGCATGTAAAAAAAGTGGAAATTGTACCTTCCTTATCTCCTTCAGCACATTCAGTTAGTCTATTTGAAACACATCTTAGTCTGGTTTCCTGAGCAGAAAACCCCAGGAGGTGATAAATATTGAAATCTGTCAGCACAGAAAAGCAGCTCAGAGCAAGAAGTGACAGAACAAACGCTCTGGGAAAACCAAAGAGTATCTTGTCGAGAGAATAAAAAAGACAACAGTGAAACAACTGCAACTAAACATATATATTGTTTCCTTTATTAAGTGAGCAATTAAATTAGCCTGTTATTCTGAGTGGTTTTATGCTCTGTGTAACCAAGGGGTTTTAGTTAAACAGAGAGCTCATTAGCGGCTGTGGCTGCCTTTCAGAGCCTCTGGAGATGTGACTCCCTGACACATGCAGAGTACTTACTGAGATTAAACAGTAATTAGAAGAAAGAGACGGATATCAGTGAATCCTCCAGGGTTTCTTCTTGTTAAGTGGTTATATGTAACACCATTTAAATAAATCCAAATCAAAGGATTTAAATGGAATGTAAATCCATCAACGTAACACATGTGGTTTGTTATCCTTTTGGGTATTAGACAAGAATAACATGAAAACTGTATCCGTCGATAGAACATCAGATGATCTGCTCTCCATTTGTATAGAACTGTTTAGGAGTTATTATCCACTGTGTGCCCCGCCTCCACCCATAGCCAGCTGGGATTGGCTCCAGCGCCCCCTGTGAAAGAGAATATGCTGTAAATATTAAATTAGTGAGCAAAACATTAGATCTAAAGCAGCGTTGTTTCTAATGGAGATGCTTCCAACTCATGGCAGTCTCTGAGTCTGAGACCAGTGCATACAGCACAGCTCTGTTATTATTTGGAAACTTGTACCACAGATGTTCAGATGTCACAGATCCACCAACTGCCAGGTTGCCACTGAGATGCACTGAGAATGGCATCGTCCTCAAGCACTGCTCCCCGGGCGCCGACCATGGCTGCCAACTGTTCACTTGGTGATGGGTTAAATGCAGAGGTTAAATTTCGTTGTGCATGGTGTGCTGTGTCACAATGACAAATAAAGATAAGTTTAAGTTTAAGTTTATGTTGCAATGATGTGGTCATGTTGTAGCCCAGAGTAGTTGGTCCTAGTGTCACTATTTCATAATACATACAGTATTTACAGTATAATCCAGAAAACAGCCAGATCTGGGACACAGATGTTTTGCAATGTGGGCAATGGCACACACACTACGTCATTCATCTTCAACAGAGAATTGCTGCTTATCAGAGGCTGGGGTCGTACAAATGTTGCTTTATATTAACAAAAACAAACAGAGGTAGACTAAGGGTTTACAGCAGCAAAAGAAAAAAACGGAGGTGTTTTCAACCTCACAACCTTCTGATCTGGAGTCAGCTATCATCGTGTCACTATTCTGAGTAAATTTAGTTTTGTATGTGCTTTCATGTGAATATTCTGTTGTGTATCCAGACATCCGTCGCCCTGAGGAGCTCTCCCTCCTCCGGCCTGTAGAGGAGAAGAAGAAGAAGAAGAAAGATAAGGATTTGACAGAGGAAATTTACGACCTGACTGAGGTGCCTCTCACCTCAGGTACACCCCACACACTTCAAGCAACCCCTGTAAAAATTGATGATTCACAAATGTGTTTATTAAAAAATGTAGATAGATAGATGTATTGTTAATTTTGTCGAATCAGTGAGGACATGTTGTTGTTTTTCTCTCGTCAGTATTGCATATGAACAATATTTGGGTGTGGGAGAAATTATAATCTAAGACATTAAACAAATTCAGTGATAATGTTTTTATTTTCTTTTATATATATATATTTTTTCCGGCTCATTTCCTTTTGCAGGCTCCAGGCCCTGTCTGTACAACGGCATGCCAGCTCACTTTGCTGACTCTCCCAAGATGGAGGCCATTTATAAGATGCTGTCAGTTACTCAGCCTCCTCCTGCTCCAGAGGTTTTAGCCAAGCAGTACCGACCCTCCAGTGTGGTGGACAAGGCCCACATTAATGGCAGGTGAGTGATCAGAGATACTTTTATACACACTAAGTGAAAATCAGTGACTATACATTTTTAAAAACTTGGGGTGTCCAATATTAGCATATTATGTAATAATCTAGTTACATAATGGCCACTAGATGGCAGCATTGCAACTAAATTGATTGATATTATACTCAAACAGTGGTTTGTACAGATAAATAAATATTACCAGGCCTATATCTACCAGGCCTATATCGGTATCGGTTGACATCGGAATTGGAAATTTTTCCTAGGTGGTTGGACTCCTCCCGCTGTCTTATGCAACAGGGGATCCAAGAAAATGACAGACTCTGGCTCAGATTCAAGTACTATACCTTCTATGACATAGAACCTAAGGTATGTGTAGGTGTTTGTGTTCTGTTGATATTCAGTATGAGTCATCACCTGTCTGACCGCCACCTTCTCTATCGTCTCTGTTCCCACCCTGTAGTATGATGTTGTGCGTTTGACCCAGCTTTATGAACAGGCTCGCTGGGCCATCCTGCTGGAGGACATCGACTGCACAGAGGAGGAGATGATGCTGTTTGGAGCTCTGCAGGTAGAAAACAAGAAAGAAAAATCACTTTATAGACAATTTAAGAAAAGATGACCTTTAAACATCAGGGGAAAACAAGTTTGGAAAGGTGGAAATCCCTTGTGAATGTCATAATGCATCATTATTTCAGGAACATTTCAGAGTTAGTCTATAATCATAGGTATATAATATGTAACAATGAATATAGAGCAACTTTGAGATTGTATGATTCTGATTATTGCTCAGATTATGGGCATTTTCTCTATCATAGGAAAAGCCCATTTTTTTACATTAGAAATCTTAATATAAAATAGGAGGAGTACATGGACTTCTGATAAACTGCTCTGGTTCCCAATCAATCTCTCTGTCTGTCTGTCTGTCTCTGTTTGCAGTACCACATCAGTAAAGTCTCCCTGTCAGAGCCTCAGATGCAGATCTCCAGTCCAGCCATGGAAGACCTGGAATTAGCCCTGCAGTGCCTGGAGGTCAAGATGGAAGGAAAGAGCAGCTCTGCATCTGAGCTGCTGGTCAGAGAGTTTTTTGGAGTTTTTTTTTTTCATTTTATTTCATTTAATCTCAGCTCTTCATCCTACTTTGTGTTATATATAAATAAAATAATAATTCAGATGTAGCAGTGTGAAAAAGGTTGTAAGGTTATGACAATCGATCTACTGTTAATAAGATTCTGCTTATTTTAATATGAGTTGCTATTTAAAACAATAATGAAGGCTTTTACTGTTTTATTCCTGAATGTTGTCCCCTGATATTTTAAAAGAAATTAATTGTAAAAACATGTTCTTTCCAGGAAAACATAACTGCACCAGAACTTAATGACTATTTGAAAATATTCAGGTGAGAAATATCTTCCATTCTAGTTGTTGTTTAGTTCCTGTGTTGTTGTATAAGTGCATTTCTATATAGTAAATGTCTTCTTCAGTATAGACCACTGCTATTATGTCTTTCAGACCTAAGAAGTTAACCCTGACACCATACAAACAGTACTGGTTCAAGTTCCAGGATATGGTTATCTCTTCCTTCAAGAGCAAAGAGGAGAGCAGCGGAGAACCTATTCAACAGATAAACCTCAAAGGTACTAATATCTGGGATGAAAACACCCATATGGCATCATGATGTTTTAAAGAAAACAGCACTTTAGAACATCCAGTTGACCACCTAGTGGAAGAGTATGTAACTGTCGTTCTTGTCATTTTCCCATCCTGTTGACAGGCTGTGAAGTGGCTCCTGACGTGAGCCTGGCTTCACAAAAGTTCATCATCAAACTCCGGATTCCAGCACCTGAAGGCATGAACGAGGTGCATCTTCGTTGTGAAAATGTAAGATCACAAATACAGTGGAAAAAATAAGATGAGTGGTTTTAGCCCCAGCTCTGACTGATGATCTTTTTTGTATGGAGTTTGCATGTTCCTCCACTGCAATCCAAACACATGTCTGAGTCAGTCTGTGTCTCCTCTTCACCTGTGGCCTTCAGGAGCAACAGTACGCTCAGTGGATGGCTGCCTGCCGTCTGGCCTCTAAAGGAAAGACTCTTGCAGACAGCAGCTTCCAGAGTGAAATACAGAGCATTCACACCTTCCTGGCCATGCAGAAGACCAACTCTGGCACTAACAGCAGCGCAGCAGCCGGGGATGAAAGCATCAATGCTTACAGTCTGGTGTCACCACGCTACCATAAGAAAAACAAGGCCAAACAGGTAGAAGTGGAGGAAGTGATGTTCAGAGTTGAACACGCAGTGATGTTCGTACTGATTTGTTACCATTGGACTTTGAAAAGTAGCACATGACTACATGTGATCCATCTCTGTACCTGTTCCTCCAGCTGACCCCTCTTATCCTGGATGCTTGTCGGAATGTGGCTGAGCTCTCGCTGACTGACGCCATGCTTCGCTTCGTGCAGATGTGGCAGGCGCTTCCTGACTTTGGTCTCTCATATGTTGTTGTCAGGTAAAGTTCTAAGTTTCATAACAAAAGAGGGAAAATTCATATTGAATACACAGGTTTTAAAATATGTATCATCTCACCATGGACTGTGTATTATTGGTGGACATTACCACGTAGTCGAAAACTGGCGATGGGAAAGAAAATCATATGGAGTGTAAAATATATTACATACCACTATTACATATCAAACATGAGGATTTGAGTAAAGGAAAACTTACCAAATTATAATTCCTTCCAACAGGTTTAAAGGTAGCCGAAAAGATGAAGTTCTGGGCATTGCCCCCAACCGCCTGATCCGCATTGACCTGGGTGTGGGTGATGTGGTCCAGACCTGGCGTTACAACAACATGAAGCAGTGGAACGTCAACTGGGACATACGACAGGTCAGAGTTATACCTTATCATGGGTTGGTAGTTGTGCTGTTTAACAGTCGGTTTCAGAGCTCGTAATGAAAGTGTGCCTAAAGCCTACTGTGGCGTTTTCATGATTTAAATACAGATTTATTTATTCATCAGTTTTAATGTAAGTATGAGGACAAAAGTACATGAATTGACGGGAAACACATGAGCAGAAATGCTATAACAACATTAAATGCAGCGTACTTTTGTGACTGATTGTTTAATTTTTAAATGACTCATTCAGCCTAGGTTAATGTGTGTCTTTTTCATCCGACCCCTCCAGATGGCTATAGAGTTTGAAGGAAACATTAACATCGCGTTCAGCTGTGTGACCGCCGACTGCAAAATAGTTCACGAGTTCATCGGCGGCTACATCTTCATGTCAACACGCAGTCGTGAGAAAAGCGACACGCTGAACGAGGACCTCTTTCGCAAACTGACTGGTGGACACGAAGTTCACTGATACAAATGAAAACATTCACAAACAGTAGGTTTTCTGTAGGTCTAATATTACACAAAGGAAACCACAGCAGTGTGACCAAGGTTCCACGGTACAGAACAGTTCTTTTCATGTTAAACTGCCTTTAATATTAGCCCCTGAAGATGTCTTCTTTAGTTCTATGTATGGTATGGTGCTTTCATTCACAGTGCGATGTAACAGCACTGTGAATACATTTTAAAGTATAAAAGTCAAACTTATATTATTAGTCTGCTGGGTACAATCTCTGCTAATTATAAGATCACAGTCATTCTTAGGTAGTTTTGAATCTTTTAATCAATTCTCCAGAGGCCACCTTAATTTAATCCTCTAGTGTATTGTGATGTGCTATGGATAAATAAACAACACAGGTGCAATAGTTTTGGTTCTTATATTTTGTGTAAAATGCTGATAGATTCCCAAAAATAAACCTACCGTTTTCAAAAATCCTGTTTTTAATAAAAGCACGTAGTCCATGCTTTAAAATGCCTAAAATGTCCCTTTAGGGGTCAACAGTTTTGCCTTAGCTGTACAGTTCACACAATCGGTTCACACAAAGTTGTTCTTGTGACAGTTTTCCATTTCCTTCAGCATGGACCCTCGATGACCAAACCTCCAGTTGCACAGTTACAGGAGATAGTAAACCTTATTGTTACTTAATGCTTTAATGAACATAAGCATGTGTTTTGTTTTTCATCTTTTAGTTTTTAGTGTTGTGATCAGCATTGTTCAGGATTCACAAATTTCTTTTGTTCTTTTGTCTGAAGCCAAAATATTATTAGAATTAAAAATATTAAAACAGCGAGTTTCCATTTCATATGTGTATAAGACACAAACACACACAATACAAACAAAAATGTGATAATATAAATGCCAGCTTTTTATTTGTCACTTCACTCCTTATATTTGTGACATATGGTTGGAACGTCTGTTGTTTGTTTCACAGGAAGCGTCTCACCAATTATCTCCTCTCACATGCTGTGAGTGTGTCCATATCTTACAAGAAACCTTGCAGGCAGTCCGTTAACAGAAACCACACTTTCGACATCACCAGTTTTCCCATAGTCACATCACTAACCACACTCACACAGAGTTTCAACCAACATATCTCTGTTTAAAACACTGGCTGGACGCTGCCAGCAGGCTGTGTGCCCATCAGCATTTCTATAACAACAACAAACTCATTGACTATTAACAAAGGAAAGGGCCATATGAACATGGCTGCTTCCCCACAGACATCCTGTCAATAAATACAATCCATTAAAAAGTGTGTATTTCTGAACAAAGGAAGAAAACGCTGCACAGTTCCAGACGTTTTGACAGGTGCTCTTGAGAGACAACTAAATCTGTGACTGCAGACTGACGTGTGACACATGGGTGCCTTTTTTAAAGGTACAACGTGCAGCAACGTCATCAAATATTTTTACGCATTACCTGAAAGAACTATTTTAAATTCAGATAACAAGCATTTATTTTCTTCATTCTTAATTCTATTTTACAGAAGTAATCAGGTGAAACTCAAACACTCTTTGATTTTTGCTCCAGGTTTTAGAAAATTGGCAACAGTACTATTTGCACTCCTTTTAACCATGTACATTCCGGAACACTCTTGACTATTCTCTACATTTTAATCCAGACTAAAATATTGAACATTTTCCCATGTGAAAAAAAACATTTGGCTATAAATGTTTAAAATCACATGCAAATTAACGAGCAAAAGATGAACGGGTGGTACAGTGTTGCAAAATCTTTTTGCCATTTGTTGTGGTTTTCCTTAAGCCAAACAGAAAAACAACCGTAGAGCGTCTGTGACCAAATTCTTCTTTCAGTTTTCCACTAAAACGTGTGGAGGAAACACTCACCGTCACAGTCAGGTGAGCTACTGCAGTGGAAGAACACTCCCTGAAACAGATCAAGAGAGGTCTTAGTAAACATGTAAAAACATTTGTATTCTAGATGTTCATGGTAAATCTAAACACGCCAGTGTTTGCGTCTTACTTGTAGGTCTCAGCCTTAAGGCTCGGCAGAAGTATTTCGGTAAAAGTTTTCCTTCAGCATCACCCTCCGTCAGCAACACGCCGTTCTCTGACCAGAAGAAGTTGATGCCATCTTCACATTAAGACATAAACATAAAATGTATAAGAAAACAAATGCCTCAACTTCAGTCATAAAAAAAATATAGGTGCCACTGTCTTCAGGATAACTTTACCAGCGATAGCCTTTTGGACATCAATAAACACAGCAAGATCACAGTCTCTTCTCATGCCTGTGAGGGCGATAAAAACAAACTATGTCGTGATTTCTAAAATCCTCCAGTTAAAATACGCTGCAGACAGAAGCACTTGTCTCTCACCGCTGATAACACCATCTTCGCCTGGAAGACCTGACGCCAGGTGGATGTGTGTCCTCTTCATACGACTCAAGCCCTGAACCTGGATGGAACTCCATTTACTGAGATAAGAGCCATGAACAGCCTCAGTGGGACAGTCTGGAGAACCAATCAGGACTGGTTTCAGCTCCAAATTCTTCACCTGACCACAACAAATGAACCAAATATTGACAGCAATTAGAATGGAGGGTAACAGAACGTCATTTCACAAGATTATGATCTATAAAATAACTTGTTTGTTAAAAAAATAAAAGAAACTCTCAAATAATTGTTTAATCCACACTTTTGTAAAAACAACTGTGCCAAAAACAAATGAAAAATAGTCATTCGTTTGAAACAATTGCAGAAACCGTGACAGAATTTAACAATAAAGTAGACTTTAACTGCGACTTTGAAAATTGATTTTAAGTATTAATGTGCCTGGGTGTAACCTCAAATATATTTATCTTCATACCAGCACTGAGTGTCCCTGATTGGCCCGGATCTGCAGAAGTCCATTTTCTGGGTTAGGATAAAGTTTAAAGCGCTGCTTGTCGTTTGTGGCCACAACTCTCTTAATATCCTCTAATGAGTAGGAACGAAACTGTGGATGAGCCAAGAGTTCATCTACAGATACAAATCCATCTGTGAGGAAGAGGAGAAGGAGGAGAGAAGTTTTCATGATTTCATAAAATGTGCAATAACTGTGTAAATTTAAAAAGGAGCACACAACATACCTTCACCCATGTTAAGACCCATCTGGCCTGCTCCATGGCGAAGTGCATAGGACATGGATTTGGATAGATGGACATCTCTGTCCTGTTGAGTTTGACACAGAAAATATACAAAGTTTAAGGACCAAACGAAGAAGAATGATGACAGAGATGAGTTTGACACCTATACAGATATACATTAAGCTACACACGAAGTAAAGCTTTTAATAATCTGAATTCTCTTTCATTTTACTTATTCATAGCGTGATATTAGTGGATCTTTCCTTCTTATTTTTGACCACCTTAACCTGCATATGTCCTTCTTTAGACCTAGAATCTTTACTTAACTTTAACCTAACAGCAAACACAAACAGTCAGCTGAAACTACAACGATGTTTAAAAATAGGACAGCGACTTACGCATGTCTGTATCAACCTTCAGAATCAAAAACCTTGACTCGTGATTTTTTTTTAATACAACTTAAACTCTAACCTCTCCGCCCTGTTTTCCTCCACGTCCCATGTGTCTTCCTCTTCCTCTTCTATTCACGTCCATTTACATTAATTTTATTATAACATTATTTGCAATTCAACTGCATTACATGTGGCTGTTTTTATTAGAGACCAGCGCTGTTCGACCAAGGTTTAGGTCAACAGATATTCACCACTGTCAACAAATATGCATGTGTTTCTACTTCCTGTTTGTTCCCATTGTCTGCCTATAGATGTCAGTGTGGCCCCTAAACTGAAGTATCGGTATCCAGGCTGTCACCATAGAGGTAGACGCTACGTTTTTGTCTGGAGGAAAACAGTTAACTGCTCAGAGATGTCAGGTGAGAAATCCTGCACATTGTTTATCAATGATGAAGGCAGTTGAATTCAGGAGCGAAGCTCAGTGTTTTTTCCGTAAACCTTTACTGGTAGTTGTAAACAGGAAGTTGTGTCTTGAGTTCCAACTGCAGGCAGTTACAGAGATGTTGAGCTAACCTGGCTATGTGATGTTAGCAAGGCTGTGTGTCTATTCAACTGTGCGTCACTCTTTCTTTATTGTTGGTGTTTGTGCAGAGTAAACGGGACGAATCGTGATGGAGCTGACAGACACTTGAAGGAATGGCAGATTTCCCCCCGACTTCGCTGTCAATACCTATTTAAGATTAGGATTAAACAAACAAACAGGAAGTTGCAGCAGTGGAAAGTCTGCTCTGTTTGTGAGTGTTAATTCAATTTAATATATTCTTCACGGTGTGACATTCTTATTCTTTCAAATGAACATATAGTTAAGTACTAAGATTGACTCAATAAAGTTATCTGAATATATAGGGTGAATGTTGTGCAAATGTTTATCCTTTGGGATTTTAAATTAAGTACTCAGCTGTTCAATAATTTTGTAGGATTTAAGATTAATCTGAAATTGTGTTTTTATTCAGATTTTTATATTATATGTAGGGGTATAAATAATTAAGTGACAATGACATTTTCATGCTAAACGTTTTCAAGTTCATATGTTTGTGGTGTAAACAAAACAAGCCGGCTGTAGCTGGCTACAAAGTTGCTCTTCTTAGAAGCAACAGTGTGTCTGTGTAGTCTTAACCTTCCTCATTGCTTTTGCTCAGGTGATGGAGTTCCCCCAGCATTCCCAGCAGCTGCTGTCAGCCTTGCGTTCACAGCGTCAGCGAGGCTTTCTCTGTGACTGCACTGTTAATGTTGGATCAACATGTTTCCTGGCCCATCGTGCTGTCTTGGCATCCTGCTCTCCTTTCTTCCACATGTTTTACTCTGATTCCCCAGGGGGCAACAGTGGGAATGGCACCAACAGTTCTGTCACACTCGATAGTGATATTGTCACATCTGCTGCCTTTGGATTGCTCCTGGACTTTGTCTATGAAGGTGTGCTGCAGCTTGAAGATTCTCCACCTGTGGAGGACGTGTTAGCAGCTGCAAGCTTCCTGCACATGAATGAGGTAGTGAGAGTGTGCAAAAAACGGCTGCAGAGACGATTGCCTGTGGCTGAGGCAGACAGCACCCGCTCTGAAGAGAACTCCAATGTACAAAAGACAAGAGAGTCAAGAAGGGAGAGTGTGGGTGACGGTGTAGCAGAAGCCTCAGCAGCCATAGGAGGAGATCACTTAAATCCTGTTGCCATGGTAATGCCACTCTCACCCGCCTCTATGATGATTGTGGAGAGCAGAGAGGTTGAGTGTGTGAAGTCAGAGAGGAGGACTGCTGAAGGGTCATCAGAGGCGCGGGTTCACACTCCTCTCAGCCCTGATCTTGCTGACACCACTCAGCCGGGCATGGATGCTGCTCCTCTGCCAGCAGCCAAAGAGCTGGTGCACTCTCTTCCTGCTCCAGGGAATCATATCAGAGTTGTGCCTGGAAGTCAGGGTGAAGGGTCAGCATTTTGTAGCCCGTGTAGCACGACAGAAATATACAGGTATAATAAGGACTCCATTATTTTTTACTCTCAAAATCAAATAAATATACACTGCAAACACAATGTATTTGATAATGTTAAGTTAATAATAATTACAATTTTTGCAGGAGTAGTCATTCTCCTGATGCACAGATTTCATTTCTCTAAGATACATTGTTTAGATGTTGTTCCGTACCTTCTTTTCCTCTTGTCATGTCCATTCCTGGAGTGCTCTGGTGCCATCCAGTGGATGTGCACACTACACTTTTAGAAGTGAATGGGCTTCAATGTTTAATTTGTCTCCCTTTGTTTCTGTCATTCTGCAGCCATAGCAACAGCATCCACCAGCCTTCACCTCCATCTTCGTCCTTGCTCGTCCCAGTGAGCCTGTCAGGCTGCCGTTCAGTCTCTACTCTTACAGAATCGAGTTATTCACCTGACAATGATTTTGTCAGGAAAGCAGCAGAGACAGAGCACAGAGGAACATCAGAAGGAAGAGAGCAGATGGTGATTCCCATCCAGGCGTCAGCGCTTGTCTCACACATACAAACCATCCCAAATCAACATGCTGCGCCCCAAATCAGAATCCAGAAGCCTGTGTTGCAAGGCCAAACTTCAGACTTTCTGACCAGTCCTCAGACACAAGCTGTGAAAGAACCTGTGGGAGATGTGGGCAGAGTGAAGGCAGACAATAGTGATGAAGACAATGTGAAAGTAAAGGTTGAAGCTATAGTCATATCTGATGAAGAGATGGAGGAGGAGAAAGATGAAAAGAGAGGTGATCTGGGGATAGAAGTAATTGATGACTTTGAAGATGACATCGGAGAGGAGGAGGAAGAGGAGCTGAACAGTCCACAGTTTCTCCAGTCCCACCCGCAGATTGCATCTCACCCAAGTGACTATGCCTTTCCTCTTTCTCCCTCCTCTTCGTCCTCAGGAGCTGGGACTTCAACCCAGGATGCCTCGTCCTTTCCTGCCCCCCTCCTTCCTCTGTCCTCACACCAGCAGCACCCAGACGCATCCGCCTACTTTCAGGATTCAATGGGAAACTTCATGGAGGACGTCCCCACGTGTGGCGTCTGTGGGAAGACATTCTCATGCACGTACACTCTGAGACGTCACGCCATTGTGCACACACGTGAGCGGCCCTACGAATGTCGCTACTGTTATCGTAGCTACACGCAGTCAGGTGACCTCTACCGACACATTCGCAAAGCTCATGACCATACGCTGCCGGCCAAACGCAGCAAGACAGATGTGGAGGTGACACTTCCTCCTGACAACAATGAAAATGTCATCCAAAATTTCCCAAAATCTAAGACAACTTCTTCAAATGTCATGTTTTATCCAACCAACAGTTAAAACAATGTATTTTGTTACTAAAACAATTGAAACAAGTTTTTGTTTATTGACTGATAAATTTAATGAAGTCAAGACATTTAAAATTGTTTTCTGGCGTTCTTCAGAAGCTGTTGTCAGTGTACTACCATAGATTTGACATTCGTTGTTTTTTTATAGTTTAGTATAGTATTTTATAAGACAAAAAGTTTTTTTTAACCTTTGACCTGGATATCGGTTGCAGGGGCTGAACTAAAGGTTTACACCTGTTCAGACAAAATGAAGTTCTGCATATTATCAAAATGATTACCAACCACTACAGCGTAGCTAAGTATAAGAATCCACTTAAAGATTCAATTACAATTATGAACTTGCTTTCTTTTGGCCTGCAGTGTATACTGTAGAGAAAACAGTCTGTGTTTGGACGGTAAATGATGTGGTGCATTAAATCCAAACAAAAATAAGATCTAAAAAATGTTGTGTCTTGGATGATACCACATTTATTCTGTTGGCATTCTAACAATGAGTCAGCACTGATGTAGAATTGTAGTCACACATGTAGTTGAAGGTGGATTTTGGCTGGTATCCCAATGTCATTCAGTAGTGAAGGCTTTATGCGACGTTCTTAATAATCTAATTTTAAAAGTAGAGACTGTCTGACTTGTTTCACAGTGGTACTTGTTAAATGTTATCAGATTTGCACTTTATTTTGCACTAGAACTTCTCTCCACATCTTGGACTCTCTCTTCAGTGCCAATTACATGTTGAACGTAAAGAAAACTAGGTTTGCCTGTTTTCAGGTACAGTGTCTGAGAGGGATGATGAATATTGTTTGTATTTTCTAATTTTGTATCATTTTAACCTGCTTTTTAATCTGAGCCTCTACAGCTGAACTTGTTTCTCTGCTTCATTTCAACTGTTGTTAGAGATGGTCCTATATCTATTGATAAGTATCTATATTTGTATAAATTCACAATAGTTTTAGAGTGAACAAAGTGCTTCAAATATAAATGTTGCCTTGTGAGTAAACACTGTTTAGTTTTTATTGTGGGAATATCGTAATGTTGAAGTAATTCATTCACCGTGCAGGCTGGTTATTCAACATGTTTTATTTCACTACAAAGGATTGTGTATTAAAAAAATATCAACACTTTGTGTCTTGTTGCTCTGAAGTGGTAACTCTGTTTCCTTTTCCAATGTGTAACCAGTACATCACTATTCTAACCTGCTGCTGCTGTCTCTCCTCAGTCCTCCACTGGTCCATGGATCTGTGAAGAGATAGAATATTGCAGTAGAACCAAAAACAAGCACTTGTGCAAACCAGTTACATTTATGTTAACAATAAATCCAGCATCTGTTGACCACAGAAACCTGTGTCACATTTAGGTATTTGTCATGTTTTTGATTTTTTTTTGTGTGAGTTTGTGTCACTTTGACTAATCTTTAGTAGAAGTAGAATTTGGGTGGAAGAATTTCTGAAAAACTTTTTTTGTTCTAGGTTTGATTTATATTTTAAGACACAAACCAATGTCAAGGGGATGTCAATAAAAATCTTCAACAAAGTCTGATTATCAATTAGTAAAAGGACTAACTAAAACACTCACGGCTTCGGCTAACTCTGGCCAGTCCATGGCTGTTACAATTGTGTCATCAGAATTTGGAGGAGTCTCCAGGTTCCAGTATGTCAGCTTGTCAAACACAGAGGATACCTTCACAGTCCTGTCCTGTTTATTCAAACACACATAGAAATATTAGCTACCACCATCAATGATACAATACACAACCTTTAATGCTTTGGCTCATGTGTGATGAACCCACAGGTGGTATTTGGTATTTACCTCTTGGTCAGAGCCAGGCTTGTTAAACTCTTTCAGCACCAGACCAGTGTATCCCTGCTGACAGCTGATCTCCTGTCCTTTTAGCCCACGACCTCTAAGTGACACCGTCTTCTCTGGAGGTTTTTAAAAATATATATATACATGAAATGACAGACATGATTAAAAAACGTCTACAAATGCAACTTGACGTTCTAACAAATCTTCAGTCAGAAACAATAGACAAATTATTAAGGTCAGCGTTACCATGTTTGCGATCTTTAAGGGTTGCAGTGAAGTACTGTGAAACCTGTGCTGACCCGTTGTGTTCAATCTCGCAGGGCAGTAGATGGACTGCAGCTCGCTGTGTTTGGTCTAGTGATGGCACATGAACACGGATTACACTGCTGTTACAAGACATTCTGTAAGGAGAATGCAGAGAACAAAGCACATAAATTAACATGCACAACAACATTATCAATGTTCCACGTGGTCTAATTTATTTAACAAACTGGGAGAAAATATTTCGCAGAAAACTATGAATCGCTTTAAGCTTCAAAAGCCTCTACCTATACTACTCAGTAGTTTGGAGTTGTGGTCTCATGACATCGGTTCGTTGGGGGACCATCATTCACAGGCAGATTATTTGCCTGTTATTGACAACACTTCTCCAGTAACACAGAACGGCTGTACATTGGTTGCATAAGACAGAAACATATGACTATAAGAACTCAACATTTTTTAATACACTTGCTTAAAATTTCCTGTTGTTGTTCATTATAAATTGCTTTATTCAATTTCAAAGTTTTCCTCCGTTTCAACCTCCAACAAAGGTGAGCTGCTTTTAGAACGTTTTCTGGGAACAAAGTAACCTGACACATCTTATGGATGAATTGTTTTGGTGATAGGTTTATAATGTAGGTAATTTGTTTTAATTCCATGTTGCCGTGAGTAATATTGTTAACACTACCCGTGTAGTTCGCTGGTTAATTTGCTATCTTTTCACAAACGTAAACAGAATAAATGTGTTACAGTAAGTGAAAATATAAATACATATAAAAAAAGATACCTTTTTGCTCATCCGTGTTTAGCGCCACTCACTGCTTGATGACGGAAGTGGATTCTTCTTCTACGCTGGAGTTGGTTCTGGCATTTTTTCCCCCGTTTCATTGCAATTTACCGCCCCCTGTTGAAAAAATATTTTAATTACTGTCGACGTTTAAAATCACTTAATTTAAAACGAAACATTTTACGTCTTTACTGACAAACCAAAAAAAAAAACTGAATTAGTGATTGATGTCTACAAAATGGTTACACATAGAAACGTGGATGTATGTGCACACTGTGAAATATGATGATGTAGATGCTTATATTGTAATTGTATTAAAATTATAACTGTATTTAGTTGTCTTTACTTCTGTTAGGTTGAAATGTCCTAGTGAATAAGACAAAATAGCAACTACAGATTATTGATAAGCCCAGACTTTATATATAGTTATTTTTTAAAAGATTGTAAAAAGTTAATTAGCAAAAACACATTTTTTTCTGTATCTTTTACCTTAAAAAAACAAAAACTCATTGTCATTTCACAGCTTTTAGTTAACAATACATTGTTCCCACCTTTTGTTCAAGATGGGCTTAAAAACTTATAACCCATATGAGGAAAACATTCCAGTGTTTTGTCAGAAGAGCAACACAATAATCTCTGTTCCATTTGGCTGCATCATCGTCCATCATGTGGGTTGGACTAAAATCTGTCCAATGTCTGCTCTTCAAAGAGCGCAGAGACATTATTTGGCATTTCTTTCTGTTCTCAACATCACCAAGATACTTATGATCTGGTGGCAAAGAGAAGACATTTCATAACAGCTCGGTGTTGGGTAATTATAACAGAGGTAATGTTTTAATCGTAATATAGCAGGAAATACTGAATTTGATACAAGTATTATTGAGCTATATTATTTAAGTTAAACTTTTTTCCTCACTAACAAAGTTGTGTTTGTGTTTTTTGTCTGTTGTAAACTGTGTCCCTGCTTTATATGTCGTAGCTTTATCTGTACATACTTTCTATATACTTGTCTGTGTATATGTGTCTCTGATGAAATTCACAATGTATGTGTTAATAAGTAATGAATTAATCCACACATAAATTCATTTGTTGATACACTTACAGTAGTGGTTGTTTTCAACAACCTGTGGAGTCATTTGACTCAAATGCAGCTGCTTGTGACTTTGATTGGACTTGGTGGTTTTTCAGTTTTTTAGTCATGAATGTTTTTACTTGTTCCTATTACTTCAGTTGCATCAGCAGCTTCACTGACTTTCTGTGACCACACAGAAATATGGGGTCAAAAGCCAACAAAAACCCTGTTAAGTGATAATATTCTACTTTGACTCTATCTCTCCAGTGAAACCTTTTTAAATACTGTATCTATATTTGCATTATTTACCTCTGCCAATGTCTTTTTTTTTACCAAAAAATGTCAAATGTCTGTTTGTCAAATACCTTTTCTAATTTTTTTTTTTTTTTTTTTTTTGGACTTTCAGTTTCTATGGCTCAGGTCAGCCCTTTACCTTCTTCACTAACCGAGGCTCCACTGTCATCTGTCCAAGCACGTCTGAGTCTGAAGGATTCAGTCACAGTGACCATCTCATCAGCCCGGCAGAAAGTGGCACAGAGCGTCGGGGTGTGTCTGGCTGTTTTTTTATACAGCAGCTTCCACTACTCGTACATGCCCAACGCAGCCTTTTCTGCCCCTCTGCACTATTACTTCAGGTGTTTTTGTCAGTGTTCCCGAGAGTAGTACAATCATGTATTTGTGTTTTATTCCATCTGTGTGACTGAAGTATTCTCATTTCTGTGTGCAGGACAGACTGTGAATCTCCCTCCTCTTTCCTTTGTTCATATCCAGTGGCTAATATCTCTCTGATGAGGAACAAGAAACATGTATGAATTTACAAACTGGTCACAGAAACAGGCTGTAGCTCAACACTGACTCCGGTCGTAGATATTTGATCCTCAGTTCAAATTCTACCATGAAATAAAAAAACAATAGTTAAAGCAAAACTTACTGTAGTTATTAAACCTTGATAGCTACCAAGAGACACGCTGTAAATATAACGGATCAGAAATGACACCCATTTTAATGCTTTTGTTATATGGAACATCAGACAACTTCTGACCTGTTGACCTCAGGCTCTACACAGGGCTGTGGAGGTCAAACAGGTCAGAGCGAACGCTGGAGCCTGGTTATTTAGGACTCTGAATGTAAGAACTAAAATGACTCAGAAATTGAATATTAAATTATGACATAAATGAATCTCTAACCACACCAGAGTTTATGGACTCAAAAAACATCAAACATTGAGCTTTGCTCTTCACTGAATCACTTCATTCATTCATGTTCAGGTGCTGACATTTGGCCAGTCCTACCAGATCACACTGCAGCTGGAGATGCCTGAGTCTCCAGTCAATCAGGAGTTGGGGATGTTCATGATCAGGACGACCTGTTTTTCTCAGAGCGGTCAGGTTTCCTCTTCAGCTCGCTCCGTGAGTTTGCCTTCATGTAGTGTTAAAAAACAACAACTTCATCATCAGTTTCTGCCATCAATGACTCCTTATGTACATGTTGTCTTCTTGCTCTCAGACCAGACAAATGCTGTCCACGTCCAGCACTCGCTCGGTGAGTACAACACCGACCTCAAATCACATGACCTGGTCAGCAGCAGATTTGAGCTGAATCAGCGTACATTAATCACTGACATTAAGTGGTCAGAGTCTGGGATCCAGATGCTTATGTTATAAAAAAATATGGGCTACAAACCAAAGCTGACGATTTCTGGCCCAGTGTTTGGCCAATATGTGGTCCACAGCCTTGGGACAAGATGTCCACTACTGAAAACCTCCAGGTCTTGACTGTATGTTAGCCATGAGAGCAGTTGATCTAATGTCATTCCCACATCTGTACTGTTCAGAGCATACTGAGGTACCGTTCGGACCTGCTGAGAACTCTGGGAACACTGTTCTTCCTGCCAGCCTTTTTGATCGGAGCAGCTGAGCAGAAACAAGTCCTGGAGGTGGAGCTCTTCTCTGACTACACTGATGACCCTGTGAGTGCTGCCCTCTGGTGCATACGTTAAGTCTTCTCATCTTAAATATTTGTCTGAGGTTCAATCTCTGTTGTTCCTTCTTCCAAGTACGCTCCTTCTATCAACGCTGTCATTGAGATCCTGTCCGACAAAGTGCAGATCTATTCATCTCAGCTCTACATTCATGCTCATTTCACTGGACTCAGGTGAGAGGAACTGACTTAATTAAAAAAATGTTACCACTATCTTGTTTCCTTCAGTCTTCTGATGAGTTGTTTTTTCCCTCAGATACTTGTTGTTCTACTACCCCGTCACATCAGCCCTGGTGGGTGTGTCCAGTAACTTCATCTTCCTCACCATCCTCTTCATCCTCAGCTATGTGAGGCTGCTGTGGAGAGTTAAACAGGTGCTGCCGACGACACTGATCTTCCACATACACAGTTCCCTGTCATGTCTCTGTTGAGCTACACCTCAGACTCCACTGCCTCTGACAGCTTTCTTTCCCTTGTTGTTTACAGCAGGGGGCAGCTGAGCCACTGTCAGGGAGCCAGAATGATGTGACTAACAACCAGCAAGTGGATAATGTTGCTGCAGGTACAGAAAGATCCTGATATCACAAAGTTGTGTTGTTGTTTTTCAATCTTTTTTATCTATGTGAGATATGGTCTTTTTGACAGGTACAGGCACGGGTCAGTAACTGCTCCAACAACTGTGAGCAGAAGAAGAAGGCCACACTTTATATTTGGAGACAGCTCAGAGCAGCAGAGCAGAAATGCAGTCGGTGTGGAACAAAGACATGAATCTGGGGGAGCACCAGGACAGTAGACACAGGAGAGGGACCAACATGTTTGAGGACAATTTGTCTTCATTAAATGAAACTAAATCAATTTACACAGTGAACCTGCTGTGTTCTACAACGTCAAATAATATAAACCTTCAGTCACACCACAAAACATATTCAGTTTTGTTAAGTTTTCCAAATGACTGCAATAAAATCATTTTAAAAAACGAATGTCGAACACCTGCACTTTCTTTATTTGCCTCTACTAAAGGAAAAACAGTTACAGGCCTGCATTTGGTTGGAAGAACTTTCCACCACGTGTGCCATGTGACACTGATAGACATCATTCCTGGATGCTCCGGCTCCTCTGGAAACCAAAACAACGTCACTACATGCAAAATATGTCCCAACACAGAGAAACAAAGAGAGTGACAGATGTAGCCCTCAGACAGAAACACAGCCTTTTAGTTCTGAAAGCTAACTCACAGATGACAGATAACCTAAGGTAAGGCGGATCATACGCCACAACGCTGTGTTTTTTATACAGAAAGATAAAGTGGGTTGACTGATGTTGTAGGCGTGTTTAGAGTACTGTTTAAAACTGTCTCTGTTCTGTACATGTAGCACTGACTCTCTGTCCAGTCTCTGTCTCTGGAATAATGAGATGACTGGTGAAAACAACATGGAAATGGAAACAACGGATACTAACTTTTCTAATGACTCATCAGAGGAGATGCATCAACCTCTCTCGTTCAGTGAAGGCCCATCCGGCAGCTGCGTGAAAATGGGAGTGACATTAAGGCCCAGACTTCGCTGGATGAAGAGTTTTCCTCCTTACGGTCAGTACAGAGGTGGACTTGAAGACCCAGACACTAAGAGTCATTCGGAAGTGAGTGTCTTTTCCCACCAGCGTCCCGGATCTGATGAGGCGATGAAAGACGAGAATGAGGTTTCTCCAGGCTCGGACAGAGAAGAAGCGTTGAGCAAACAGAGGTGCATGAGAGATGAGGTGAGGGCAAAGTGGAGGGAGAGTAGGATGCAGAGGTTAGGGGGCAGTTATGAAGGCTTCACAGACAGTTGGACAGAAGAAGAGCGGGGCGGGAGGGAAGAAGTGGAAGAAGGGTCGGAGAAGGCAAAGGATGAAGGTGCGATGAGTGAGTGGACACAGCCAACAAGTGAAGACACCGTGGCAGAGACCAGGATAGAGTTACCAAGAGATGAGGAAACAAGTGGACAAACAATCTTAGCCAAAGACATCAGGGAGATCAGGATCAGTGAGGAAACATCTGAGCACAAGGATGAAGGGGAGACTCAGGAGCTGCCACGACTGAGACGGGACTCTACCACACACCTGACCCTCTCCAAACTTTTACACTCCTCCTCCTCCTCCCCCCCCCCCCCCCCCCACCACCCTTCCTTCACCGGCCAAGAAGGAATCTTTACA